GTTTCACATTTTCAGTTTTTACCAATTTCACTGATGAATTCCTTGCTTTTTTTTTTTATTAAAGTTAATGGGGTTTTAATGATTTACACTTGTTTTTCAGTTCACTCACTTTTACTGGGTACAGTAAAATCCCTGTGAACCAGCATGAGTGAGGAATGGCTGGGGGGTGCTGGTAAGCTAAAAGTGCTGATTACTTGAGGCACAGGTTTCTAGCCAGACACCTGGGCGGGGGGGGAGATGTGTGACAGTAGCTGCACATGAAGAGCAGGGTGGTGGCTGTGTCGGGGCCAGGGCAGGGTGGCTGGAGCCACTGCCTGGGGGTGTGGGACTCCTGGCTCCAACCCTGGGCAGGGCAGGGCAGGGCAGGGCAGGGCAGGGCAGGGCAGGAGGGCTATAGGAATTGATTCTGGGGTGGGCAGGTCCCAGTTACACCCCAGAGGCTCCAGCTGTGGTCCTGCCCCAGGTGCTGGGAGCTGCAAAACCTGTCGGGAAGGCAGGCAGAAGAACTCGACCCCACTCCCTGTGGTGGGCACTGCATCTAGCTGCTCCGCATGGGCCTGTGGGGCTTGAGCCACTGCTCAGGGTGCGGGACTCCCAGCTCTGACCCCGGGTAGGGTGGGAGGTGCTGGTGCCGGGATCGGGTCCTCCCCATCCTTATCTGGCCATGTGCCACTCCCCTCAGCCCCTGGGCTGCATCATGCCATGGTGCAGGCAGGTGGTATCAGCTGCTCCTGGGGCTACTGCAGGAAGGGTTGGGGCGAGTGGGGACAAGCAGAGCCCTGGGGGGTTCGGGGTGCAGCATTGCCCAGCAGCTGCAGGCAGCTGGCATCCACTACTCCAGGGGTCGTTGCAGCAGGGGCTGGAGTGAACAGCGACAAGCTGTGCCATGCCCCATGCCCCTTGGGGCTCCAGTTATTCCCACTCACCCCAGCCCCTGCTACAGTGGTCCCAGGAGCAGTTGATGCCAGCTGCCTGAACCACAGCATGGTGCAGCCCAGGGGCTGGGGTGAGTAAGGCCAAATGGAGCCTCAGGGGGTTTGGGGCACGGTGCAGCCCAGCAGCTGCAAGCAACTGGCATCAGCTGCTCCCAAGGCCACTGCACCAGGGGTGCAGTGGGGACAAGCTTCATCATGCCCTGTGCCCCCTCTGGGGCCCCACTTGTTCCCACTCATTCTAGGCCCTGCTGCAGTGGCCCCAGGAATGGCTGACACCAGCTGAGGAAGGAACTGTAATTTAGTGAGTGTGGGGCACTGGGGCATGGCTCTTGCTGGTACTTGCACTGGAGGAAGGCTGTGGGTTGGGGGGCTATGCCGGGCTCTTCCCAGGGGGTGTGTACCCCTGGATTTGTGCGCCAACAGTGGCAGCCTGCTCTCATCCAGTGCACAGATCTGGGGGCATGCACCCCCTTGGAATAGCCCGGCACAGGCCCCCAGCCTGCAGCCTTCCTGGGGTGCATGTAGCAGCAAAAGCCACACCCCCCTACCCTGCACCCACTGACAGTTCCCTCCACTTTGCTCCCTGCTGCACCCCCCCCCCCCACACACACACACAACACTTCCCTAGTCTCAGCCTTGCTTTCTCTCTCCCATACCACCATGGGAATGTATTATTTTTTCCCCACTTTAAACCATTTCTTTTCTTTTCTTTTTTTTCTTTTATTCTGATTTCAACCCACTTTTTATGTTTAGAATAAACCTTGAAAAATTCCCAGATTCTTTTTTTGAAAATTAAAAACTGAAAACGCAGAACACTAAGTTTACTGAAGAGTTCCATGCTAAGCCACACTGGTCTTCTGCCATACTTGCTAGTTTTCCTGCACATCGGGATAGTTTGTTCTTGACCTCTCGGTAAGGCTTCTTTAAAGTACAACCAGCTCTCCTGGACTCCTCTCCCCTCAGACCCTCATCATGTTCTTTCTTCTCGTGACTTCACAAACACAGAGCCCCCTTGACAAACCAATCCAGGGGGCTCAGTATGCACTGAAGGTAGTACATCAAAGTGAATATCTCTTGCTGCCCCTAACCTGTTAGTAGATTATATGAAGCCATTCTATTTTTTCCTATTTGCATGTAGATGGCCTCTCCTTGAGTTAACTTCATGGATTTAAAGAGCAAACACCTGTACAATGATCAGATGAATAAAAAGTATTAATACAGATCACATCCACTTCTGCTACAATGGTATCAAAGCAGCAAAAATCAGAATGCGTCTCATGACCTTCAAGCAAACTACAAATGTGAAAGTATTCATATCTGCCAAATTCATCTGGAATTTGGAATGTCAGCCTTGCTCTACATCATGAAGATCACTTGGGCCTGTATAATTGTCCATGATTCTACATCCCTTTAATGAATTTTCATTTCTAGGTACTAGGCCTGTACAAAGCAGCTAGTATTCCCTTCAAATTCGGACTCAACTGATTTCGGGGAATGATTCAGTTCGGTGATTCGAATCACAGTTCGAAACAGATTCAGCAGAATCTGATTCGGAGATCTGGCTGCTGCCAAATCTCTAAATCACACAGGCCCATCCCCTGCCCACTCTCTCATCCCCAGCAATGGCTTCCCCGCCCACCCCAGCTCCCAGCACTTTGAAAAAAAAAGCCCCTACTCACCAGTTGTTGCCAAGTGGGGGGGAGGGGTGATCCTGGCCCTTTAAGAAAAAACAACACCCCCCCCCCTCCCCAGGACTCACTGGTTCCTGCCTGGTGGGGGAGGTGATCCCCGCTGTCCCCCACTGCCTCACACTGCGTGGGGAGCTCTGCACAAGCCCCCCTAAGCCCCAAGGCCACTGCAGGAGCTGGTGAGTCTGGGGGATTTTTTTGTTTCTTTTTTCTTAAAGGGCCAGAGCTGGGGCAGGCAGGACAGCCATGCGGGGGCTGGGAGAGTGGGCGGGGGTCAGGGGGCTCATGAAAGAGCCCCCCCATAAAGCGTGGAGCAGTGAGGATCGCCCCCCCTGCTGGGCAGCACCAGGTGAGTAGGGCTGTTTTTAAAGGTCTGGGAGCTGGGGCAGGTGGGGCAGCCATGGGGGTGGGGCTGGGACATTGGGCGGGAGTCAGTGGGGGTCAGGGGATGGGGCCTGGCAGAGGTCCCCTCCATGGTCTCCTCCCCCTCTCTCCAGCTTCCCCTCCCCCACTCCCTACTTACCAGCTCTGGATCTGGGTCCAGCTCCCTGCTGCAGCGGACAGGGAATGCCCGAATCATTGAAGCTCTGAATCTTTTCTGAATTGATTCAGAGAGCTTTGAATTGATTCGGATCTTTTTATTGGTCCCCTGATTCGATTTGGATTTGGAGATTCAGCCACCAAATCAGGCTGAGTCTCCTCTGAAACAAATCACCACCTGAAGATTTGCACAGCCCTACTAGACAGTATAAAACAAGCAAGAATCCAAAACCTTCAACTTTGTCTTAGAACACGCCTCTACCACAGCCTATGGTAGATGGAGTATTAAAATTGCCTACTAGCAATTTAGCAGATGGCTTATTAGCAATTCATCACTGAAGCCTCCAAATTGTACACTTCACTCCCAGTATTTAAAGCCGTGTGTTTCATCATCATTTTGCTTTTACATTCCCATGCATCTTGTTCCCCTTCAGAATATACAGACTGATAATCTTTAGCACAACAAAGTCCCATCTAATGCTAACTGAGTCCTTTTGATACTAACTGAACCCAAATGAATACAAATAAATCTATAGCTACCTCATCTTCTTCATAAAGATGGTGGTTACTCATTATTTCCATCCATCCATGCCCTGCATTATGTACGTAGCAATTAGGAATGACGAATGCTGTGTGCAAGTGAAATCCTGTAAACACAGCATTCTACAAGTAGACAGAGAAGAAAGTTCTTTAGCAATGTACTTCCAAAAAACTTCCTTTGCCAGGAGCTGCCAGACTTCCACTGCTTGAAGAACAAGGAAGCAGGAGACAGATATGTATTTCTCCAATCACAGCAAAATAAGGACAAATGGCAGTGACATTTTATAATAGCACAGCAGCATTTCAGGAAACTTGGCTCCAATTCATTTGAAAAGTCAGATGCCCAGGAGCACCTTAAAAATTATTGGTCACTGGAGAAAAGCAGATATGTTAATTGTACTGCCAGCAACTGAGATGCAAATTACAGTGTCTCTGGACCTAAAATTTGGTATTTATCTGCGAATGTTTCAATAAAAAAATATATTTTCGCTTTGTGTATAATGTGTTGACAGCTGGGAAGGAAGAGAGGCATCTAACTCCAATTGGTACATACAGTGGCTATCACTTAAACTGTGGATTCATGCTGAGCAAGCCACTATATTGTAGTGGAGACTTCCTGCAGGTAGAAGGTTCTTCACTTTTCTGTTAATTGCTAGGGAGGAATAACCTCTCAGTTAATGAATGCCAAGCTCTAGCTCACTTTTGCTTCAAAGTCCTCCCTTTCCCGTGCACTAGACTCGGCTGAAAAAAAAAAGATTTACAAATATTTTGGGCACTAGCAATGTAAAAAACTCAATTTGCTGATATTTGTAGAGCCATTCTTCTTTGCTCCTCAGTTGCTGAACAGCTGTCATGTATTTGTGGAAAAGTCTGTGTAATTCATAAGCATATTCAGTGTTAGCACAAATGATTGTACATCTGCAATTGTGTATCAGAAAGTGTAGTGACTGCTGCTCATTTTCACTTTTGTATGACATTTCAGTCAGTCAGGGAGCAGAAAAAACACCATGCCCCCTGAACAACCAATCACAATCAAAACTAATGAATAGCACATGTTCAAAGATAACAATTATTAAATGACCGACAGGATGAATTATTTTTCCAAAAACTTTTTAGAGACATTAACAACAAAAATATGTGTTGTAGCTAGGATTGGGTTTTGACTGGAAGGAAGTGAAATACCAGCAATTATTATCGAGCCCACACTTCCTCTTGCAATCAGAAAATAAGATAAAAGTATTGATTAAACACACCTTAAATGCCAACTGAGGTCGCTAATACAGACATAGGAAATTACCTGAAATTCATCTTTGATCTGGCTGGAATTGGTCTGTGGGTCTAGTCTGCTGATGTTGTAATATACAGATCTGAACTCACAAACTGGAATTGCCGTGTTGCCACAAAGACATGCTTCCAGAATGGCATCATGGACAAAGACGTACTGCTCCTGCACATCATAAGGGCAAGATGTTGCAGATTAATTCCATTGTGAACATATGTCGTGGGAAATCACAGCAAAGATAATTATCATAGAGCTGTATTTTTTATTGTTTTTCTTTTTAATTGTACTCGCTACAGAAGTTTTTTAAGGGATGAGGATGTGCGTGACCATGTGTGTAGGATTCAACTGGGGGCTGGGACAGATGTCATGTTTGTAAAGCTGCAGTTGGCTCAAACTGTTGAAGTGCTCCGTCCTACTAGCTGCTAAGCACATGACCAGTGGTAATAAGTATCTGGGCTCTTGGCCCTGAGTTCTGACCTTTTGCTAAGATGGCTGGTTGCTATAATTCTTTTCTCCAGCTGTTATTACCATCTGAAAAGTTAACTTGAATCTTATAGCTGGAACCAGTTCTCTGCTCCTAAGGGCTAATTGCACCTGTTAATTCAGTTGCAATTCAGGGATAGAATAAGTCTCCAGCAACATTCCCGAACTGAAGAAAGCCTACCTTAGTTTCTTCATCATGGAAGCCAACAAAAAGCTTCCAAGATTCACATCTGCTCCCAAATTCAGATGTTTATTATCAGTGCACAATGCACCACATAGGCGCAAGTGTTCATGAAGGAGGCAGGGGGTGTGTGTGTTCACTACTGCCAACAAAAACCTACAAAAATGACTTGTGCACATAAATGAAAAATGTGTTCATTCAGAGACCATTTTCACACAGATACACACCAAGCTGTGGACATAGTAGCTTCTTCAAGTTCAACCATATCATGACATTTTTGTGAGCCAACCTCTGTACACCAATCTTGAAAATGTCACCATATATCCTTATTTCAAATTTAAATGAAAATTATGAAGTTCTCAACCTATTATATTCCTTAGGGACATAACAGAGAGGAAAAGATAATCACTGTGAAGCTTTAATTTAGGATGAGTACCCCTCAAATAGCATAGG